ATAATAATAATAATAATAATAATAATAATAATAATAATAATAGATGGATTTATATAGCGCAAATAAACACGATGATGTATTATTATGTCCTTTATTCGAATATATATATATATATATATATATATATATATTATTATATATATATTGTAAATTGAAACATAACACAAGAGAAATTTAACAGGTCGAATGGCTTGTTAGATTTAGCGAGTCGAATGGCCTAGCGGTTAAGGCAAGGGCACCACAACCTACAGTCATAATGTCGGCGATGGTTCTAACGGCATGCTCGCCTGTGGATCTGGTGGTGGAACAAGTCTTCTCGGATAAGGACTATAAACTGTAGGCCCAGTGTACACAATTGACTCATGTGCACTTTAAAGAACCCAGTACATCTTTCGAGACGAGTAGGGGGTTAGCCCGGTGTACTGGTCTATACAGCCTCTGTTACCCTGCGCTTACGGACCATTAGGTCCATTGCAGGATGTAAAAACAAAAACAAAAACAAAGACGGACGTTGGTCATGTATGCGAAAGGTCGTGGGTTGAGTCCCAGTGAAGGCTGACTTGTTCTTCTTTCTTTGTTTCTTTGTCAGATCACTCTTCTGGTGGGTTTTTAATTTATATTATTCATTACATTATTCCATTTGTTGTTCCTGGGTTTTTCACACGCCTTTATTAAATCACAAGTATTTCAAACACACCCACCCGTGTTCTTCCTTAGTGTGAAGACAACTGACAAGAAATACATGGTAAAGCAAAGATTAAGGAAATGGTATCGATAAGAATACCATTTTATCTTTGCTTTCAACCATGTATTTAATATCAGTTGTCCTCATATACCTACTTCTAAAAATATATGTTGCAGAAAAATAATTAGATTTGAAGTAGAAAACGTGTTAGCAGACACCTACATTCCCAACGTTTAACTCAATATCCAAATTGGTCCATGTATACCGGTAAATATTAGATGGGGTAAGATAAACTAATTTTAGGGGCTTTTTGAGGAATCTGAGGGTCAAACCCAACCAAGGGTATAATCTTATAAAAAATTTTCTTATTATTTTAAATATTAGGGGTAAAACCTTTTAGGCAAAATGGGAAGAAGTCTTATAGAGGTTAGTACTGTATGTACGATTTCTTCAACGTAGCCCTACCTGTCTAGTAAGATACTGGTTATTGTTAAAGTACTGTATTATATAAGTATTAAATTAAACAAAAACATAATGTGTGTGTGTGTGTTTAATGTTTTTGCATATAGATTTTATCTTCAAATGGACAATCATCAAATGGTGGATATCTACTTGTAGTAAGTGATGGGAAGGACACTTCAGTTCCTAGCGTGTTTGACGAAGTCGTATCTTCTGGCGTAATTATTGATACCATAGCAATAACCGAAGATGCAGACAATATCCTGTCAGAGTTGTCCTCAATATCTGGGGGGCGTACAAGTTTCTATTCAGGATCGGATAGTATAACTGTCCTAATTGATTCACTAACAGCAACAATCACAGATCGACCTGACCAAACCAATGAAGCGTTAGCCATCACGGTAAAATTTTCATTACGATTATAGGTATATGTATTTGTAATGTTGATGGATACAGATAATTGCATCCATCTAATTTCCATAATCATAATCTGGTACTATATTCTATCTAATTATAATCTATTTATGCAGTTTATATTATGCAAACCATTTGCCAAGATAAGAATAATTTTTTTTTCAATGTTTGTTTGCGTAAAAAATATATCACTTTTATAATATGTTTAAATTTAACAAAGTAATATTTAACTAGATCTTCTTCAGCTATTCACCTCCCCAAACATAGGACTACTCTATTTCAGCAAAGTATTCGATATTCAGTTCTAAATTCTTGAATAACTTGCACCCCCACCCACAATGACAAAGACTGTTATAGATATTATTTGCTTCAAAACTAATCTTAAATTGAATTTATTATAAGTAACCATAAATCAAATGTATTCAAATGTAAATTTTGCTATTTACTAATGCTTTTCATTGGCAGTTATATTTTTAAAATGGTATGTACCTCTCGTTTATATTGTTTATATTTTCTGTTTGTTATTTACATTATTGTTGAATGTTGTTTTGTTTATAACATCCCTGTTAAAAGCATGGCGCTCTCTATGTGATACCGCAATGTTTATGAAATGGAAATAAATGTACTTAAACTGAACTAAACATGAAACTGACGTGATACTTAATGCTCAGTACGTTCCAAATACTTGCAGAAAAAATCACTAGTGATTCGGGAGGAAACCGAACCCACACGACCTCGGGATAACTATACCACCAGATAATCGAGCTTTCACTTAGTAATTAATGTTGAATTTGATCCTCAAGTAGCAACAGGTACTGCAATGCCACTTCAAATAATTATTTGATAACTATAGCGTATAAAAACCGTTTCTTTTCTGACTATTTAAATACAATTCAATCTGACCTTTCTAGACTCCTGAAATTCCAAACCACATAATAATTTCAGACCAGTTTTTCAGAGTACCAACTGACTACCTTTCTCTTAACACGCTGTAATTCTTGACCCTTCTATATCATGTTTCCAAAATTAAATATACTGTTAATTGGCACCAATTTGTATTTAAAAAAAAAAGAAACGTACATTTTTAACATACTTAACATACCAAACACATTTTTGGTATTTGTTTATAGGTTAATAAATTAAATAATTATGCTGACTTTCGCTACTGAATTTAGATTCAATTACCCTTACCCTTAACCGCGGTCTCTATATAGAGTACCACAGTCGTTTCGTCACAACATCAGGTGGCGCCCTCTGGACTTTGGTTACTGTTCATTACGCCTGAATGACTTCATAATTATGGTTTAGAATTGGCTTTCTGGTATAGGCATTTTAAAACCTAATAATTTACCATCAAAATGTACTAAAACACAAAAATCTCGCATTATATTTGTAAGAAGTTGTGTCTTAATTTTCTTTGTAAATGTTAATTGATTATTAAATGTGTGTTCAATAACTACAAATTACGTTAGAAATTAATGGTTTGTCAGTGGAGAAAATGGCGTCAGTTAAACTCATTTTGTGTCGCGGATAGTAACGGAGTAGTATCTCTATAGAGTTTTCTAATTTTTAGACCAAAAAGCCTCCATTCTACACTAAATTTTATGTCCAAAAAGTGGTCTTACATTGGCTTACCAGTAATGGCAGATATTTTTTATTTAATAATATTCAGTTTCTCATAGGATAATATTTGTTATCTAAACAACAGTGGTCTTACAGTGGCTTAACAGTAATGGCAGTTATTTTTTATTTAATAATATTTAGTTTCTCATATGATAATATTTGTTTCTTTTTTAGATCTATAGTGAAGCACTGACCATCGATGACACTTCTGACACCGCTACAAGTGATTGTTTTATTGACACAGCTGTTGGAGTCGATACAATATTTTTTTTTGCCTGGCTTGATAATCCTATACAAGTCGTCCTACATAGTCCAGATGGACACATTTTCAACAAAACCAGTGTAGAGTACAATTTAAACAGCGCTGATGAAATCATAACAATTCGTATAAATGGGCGTGCTGTTGTAAGTATGCCTGTTACAAGATATTGCACTATTTCTCGTTACATTTCAAATGGGTTTTTATGGAAGGTATAACTTCATCAGAAAGTATATACGCGAAATCAGTCACTGCAGTCAATCAAGCAATTTATCAATATATAATTATACATAAATAGTACTTTACCTTATGTACCGTATCTGTTAGCAACCTACCGGTACTTACTGGCATTAGGTGTATACATCTTGTTTACTAATATACATTTTGGCAATACCGCAGTTGGTCCACGACTTTCATATATTCTGGGATATGTATATCCCAGTTTCTTTCTTTATGTTCACCCAGTGGCTTATCTAGAAGTCTTAAAATGGGGGTGTTGATGGGGGT